CCCCCCCCAGGGTCGGTCAGTGTCTCTCTCCTCTTCCCTCCCCTCCCAGCACTAGTCAGTGTCTCTCTCCTCTTCTCAGGAAGGTACCAAGTGCACAGGGGGGGCCATGACCTTAAAAACGACACTACACTGCACTACACTGCCTGGGCCCCTCACACTAGTAACGGCCATACCCCCCTGATGGCGGTCTTGGCCGGGGACTCGGATCGCGACCCCCCTGTTCACTTGCGGGACCCCATATGGGGTCGCGACCCACACTTTAAGAAGCACTGGTTTAGAGTACTCAAGTCAGAGATTTAGAGTGACAGTTAAGCAACTAGCATTTTCAGAAGGAGGCCATCAATAAGAGCCTCCATCACTTCCATCATGACAGGTTTCCTTTGGGCCTAATTCATATTTTGTAAAGAGAATGTTCACTTAGATGAGTGAATAAGGTGATGCTGTGTTCACTTCAGTTATTTAATCACGTGCAAACAACTTTTTTTTTTCCTTGCACATGAGTGGGTATTAAAATTAAAGATACCTTTACCTCTTTTTTTGTAATACTACTACTACTATTACTACTAGTACTTTATCAAACATATGACTGTTTTGGGTATTATACTTAAAGATAGCTTTAACTTTTTTTTTGCTAATCAAACATTTCACTGTTTTTCTGTGTTACTGCAGGAGAGACAGCTCTACACATAGCAATTGAGAAGAGAAGCCTCCAACTAGTCCAGCTGCTTATGAAACACAAAGCTGATGTCCATGCCAAAGCAGAGGGCAGGTTTTTTCAGAGGAAGAAGAAAGGAGTCAGTTTTTACTTTGGTAAGATGTCACCAGAATGTTGCTGAGCAATTGGTCTCTACAAAATATTGAATCAGACTTAGTATGCAACAAATTATATACATTAGATTATATATTTTGTTATAATGCTTCCTAATATTTACTATATACTGTATATAGTTGATGCATTAGAAAGTGGGTTGTTTACACAGCTCAATAACTGAAGCTCAGATTACATGCATACTAGTACAATGAGCCTCTGTATGGAGTCTTAGGTATCCCATGCCATTACACTGGCTATCCCATCTAACAATACCTATGCAGGACGAGTGTGTAAAAATCCCCTTTTGCTTACTTTCACTGTAGCTTTCTTTATTCCTCCTGCCCCTACTCAAAATGGTTCCAGGCAATCAGGAGAGGAGGCATAATGTCATTAAATCCACACAGACTGTGAAAGAACTGACTTTACCTTCAAAATTTTGATTTCCAGTCTGAGTTGTCAGCTTGGCTGAAAATTTGCACACATACTCTATATACCTCTTTATGTACTAATGTCAGGATTGAGCTCAGTCTTACTTTATCTACATCTGGTATGATTCGTTAATTCACCATGGCTGAAATACACGGTTACGTCAACCACGTCCACAGATTGTAGCACAAGCTGTCTGGTAGGGGGTGACAGTGGGTCCTGACTATGCAGAAGTTTGGGAAAGATGTCCAGGCTTCTCAATGCATATAATTCTTGGTTAGAGATGTTCCTGTATATGGCCACACTTAGGAACTTGTTACACCTATGAGTTGTCGGTCATTGGAAACCAACCGTACAGAAGTTAGCATATTGCGGTGCCATTTATGTTCAATGGCAACCCACTAAAGAAACACAGCTGCAATTCACATGTGCAGCAGCACACCATAATACATGATAATAAACTACTGAATTGTGGTGCGCTGCATCAGATAAAATGGTGTTCATCCATTTTTGGTCTTTGGTGCATTGGATCCACAATGGACCACCTAGGGGTGAATGCAGGGCCGGCCTTAGGCCTTTAGGCGCCCTGTGCGAGAAAGCTTTACAGCGCCCCTCAGTGACCACACCCCTCCGTGGCCACACCCTTTAGTGGCCACACCCCCCAGTAACCACACCCATTTATCACCCATAATGGGCCATTAGGACAATGTCAGGTGGCAGATTCTGCCTTGATGATGCATTGCCAGCAGCAATACCACCAAAGGGAGGCAACCAATTACCCTTGCTGGCTCTGAACACTGCAGAATTTATTTTGCTAGCCAGGGAATAAAGAGGCATAGATGTTTTGCTGGAATGTCAGTAAGGGAGTGACCTTATATATGAAAAGTTATGTGACCTGTTAGCAATCCGTTTGCAGAATTGCTTTCCTGACACTAGCTAGAACCAGAGACGTGCGCACTGCATCATCAGACAGGTAAAAGAAGATGGTGTTAAAAGTTTTCAGCAGCGTTAAGATAATGCAAGCTCTATGGTCAATTATTACAGACCATGATTCATGCATTTAAAATACTAAGTACAGTATTTATCAAAAGCATTAATAGTCTGATGAGGCAATCATTTATCTTTTTCTGCCATATAGTCCATCAGCCTGTTTACTACAATACATTTTTCTTTCACCTTTGGAGACACACATGCACATCTGGGGGTAAATTGGTGGATTGTAGTGTTCCTTGAGTAAAGCCTGTGACATAATTCTATTTACAGGTGAACTTCCCCTTTCTCTCGCTGCCTGCACTAACCAGCCCGATATTGTCGACTATCTCCTAAACAATCCATATCGTAAGGCTGACTTAAAAGCAAGAGATAGTCATGGGAACACAGTCCTGCATGCTCTGGTTTATGTGGCTGATAACACAGAGAAGAACACTAAGATAATCTCTAAAATGTATGATGACATTCTGAAGAAATCAATAATTGACCCAGAGATGGACCTGGAGGACATTTCCAACTGGGAAGGTCTAACACCACTAAAACTAGCAGCAAAAATTGGTAAAATTGAGGTGAGTAGAAAAAAAACATTTATAAGCTGTATACAGTAACAGCACCATTCATTAAAAGGAATAAAGTTTATCACGTGCTTGCCCATGCGAAGACCTGCTCTCGGGAGGGACAAGTGTTGTGTGTTATTGCATGCAGGCTTCTGTACCTCCCTATAAGATGATGCGGCTGCATGCTGACCTGAACCTGCACATCCATGCAGGTATGGGTGCCTGCACTTGGATGCAGACAGGGTACATCAGAGTGCAGGCACCTGGCCCTGCATAGATATGCAGGTTCGGGTCGCCATGTAGCCATGTAGACCATGTGCATGAGCCCTGAAACAAATATTAATTTTCTTTTTTTTTTCCAGAGATTACTTTTGTTATTTTTTAACTTTCTGTAATAGGCCAGTCCAGCACAAATGGCAGATAGAGGATTGAGACAAACCATTTAACACTGATGAGGTGCTCACAGTGGTCAGCTTTTAATCATTTGTGGCTCCATTGCTGCTCCATAGAGTGAAGGCACCCTAATACAGGAAGTGTGTTACTGGATGGATCGCCAGGTTAAATTATTGCAGCCACCACATTTAAGGATTGGTTAACTGCAATATATTCATTTTTGGTTTTTGATACTCTTTAAGCTAGACTGCTTGGTCGACTGGTTAGCTTCATGTGGTTATTTTTTCAATAACAACCAGAATAATTGATTATCATGCATCAACTCTTTTTGGTAGCACTTTATACTCTGAATTATCTGTAATAATTATGGACAGCTTAAAAGCCAACTCCTGTCAAAACATATATTTTTAAAGTTTTTCCATATGGCAATGCAGGGTAACATTTTTTCGTCCTCCTTGTCCCAATTGGTGGGATTTTCCCTTACTTCCTGGTCCAGAAAGATAATTTGACATCCTGAGAAAAAGAGCATCATCCAGACAGGAAGTTAGAGGATTCCCCCCTGACTGTAGACAGAAATGGCAACTAATACTGAAATAAGCTCTACGCTTCCCTGTTTTGCTGCTTGTGTCTCATTTGCAGTTATTTCCATTCAAATTCTAAACTAATGGCAGGAAAAAAAAGAGGTCCCCTGTAGCATCCACTGCTCTAAGGTACAAGTCCTGCATGGCAACTGGGAATGTTTTCTTAAAGATTCATAGAGGTCATGAATATAATTAGCTCAATGAGGTTGCCATAGTGAAAGCATGTAAGCTTCTAAAAATGCAAAATACAAAATCCTGGTCTTCACTAGCCTGTATGACCCAATTCAAATTTCAATGGCTAAAAAACCATTTTACCAAACTTTTCAAATGCAGATCCCAAATGCCAGAAGTCTTGTATGTCTTGTATGTGCAGAAGTCTTTACATTTATGATTTGTTGCAGCTTCTCCTATTCTCATACATTTGCTGTATTGCTTAGCAGTAGAGGAAGGTGTCTGTGCTGTCTGTTAGGGCGGCGTAAATTACATGACTGGCTGTACAGAATTACAATCATTTTGCAATTACAATGGCTCCCATATATGTAATGCAACAGTGTATTTGCTCATTTCCTGGAGTTCGACTTTCAAAAAGTTTCCTTTGCTGCCCATGCCATGTCACCCACAAGCCTTTGACATTGCTTTTGTCTCATGTTTGTTTAATTGTGGTAGAAACATCAAGGTCAATTGACATTAAAAATGATGTTTCAGAGGGTAATTTAACAAAATTAATTCCTAAAACATGTCAGACGTCTGAGGATAAAATAAAGGACATTTAGGTAATGTCTAGCTAATCTGAATATTTCAGTGTCTCAATGTTTCAGTGAAGGACAATAGGAACATGTTGTTTTCGAGTGTTAAAGACTACTGCGTGCAAGAAAAAGCTGGCTTAAAATATTTATTTTACCTTTTAGCTTTAAACGGAAATAAATGTTTGTTATAAAGGAGGATTGTTAACAATGTTGGTTGGATAAGTAAAAGATAATGAAAACATGAGTTATTACAGCTATGAAATTTTAGGAGTTACTTTAGCAGTTGGCAGGGAGCATAGAATTAAAGGGCAATGTTTAGGGGCTACTTGAAGTTTTAGGGTTTGTGGGAGGTTTAAGAGCTGAGTGCGAGGTTAGAGGTTAAGTAGTAATGGACAACTTCACTTTTAGAAGAGTGGTCCTTTAAATAGACCTCCATTTTAGCCGGAGGCAGTCAATGTATGGCTGATTTCAGTCTATGTATGGCTGAAATCAGCCGTACTGAGCCATAGTGAATAGCCGAACGTTGTTTGGCTCACTTCACGTCGGCTCTGTTATTCACTCGGCTGCACCGGCAGCTTTGTGAATAACCCCCTTAGTGTATGATCTGCACTGAGGGAGGTGGGAGGTATGTTTAAAGGACAACTTCACTAAAAGTTTGAGTATGGAAGGGGAGGGTGGATTAAGGGCTTGTTGTTTTAGGGGTTATGCATTAAGTGTTTAAGTAGGGGAAGGTTAGGTACATTTTACAGGTTAGGGACATGTTATGGAGACTACTTATTTACACTTGTGTCTAAAGATCCTCCCATAACAAAGTGCACATTCTCCAGAAAGCCTGTAGGGGTAGGCCTTGAGCTGTTTTTCGAGTTTATAATGCCCTTGAGATGGCAAATAATGTGTCTCCCTTTGTCACACATTATTAGTATAGTTTCAAAAATAAAACTAGATTGTGTGATTAAAGAGAGCAGTATGCATTGAACTGATTGGTGTTACTTAAAATCCAAAAAATTCAAAACACCGACCAACGCCAGGTAGACCATCCATAAGCCAGAACCCTTCACTGCGCAGCCAGTAGAGGCTGCCCCGTTCCAGTCAGGGAGTCCAGGAGGCTATATAGAAAAACAAAAAACAACCTGGCGCCTTTCCTGGTGCAGGTAAAACCTTTTTATTCAATAAAAGAGTAAACAAAAATATACTCACATATAAGGCAGTATATAAAAGCATCAAAATGGACTGACAGTCCTTGATCGAATAGCTGCTGTTGATGTGACATATGGAGAGATCAAGGAGACACTCAGGAGACTCTGTTCTCCTCACAGAGTTCCACTGCTAATGCTTAGATAGCTATCAGGTTTTTATTGCTGTCCCCATTGTAAACCTCAGTTTCTATACAGTTTTCCTGTCCAGTATGACAGAAAGTGAGGAACTCTTCTGCTTGGGGACATAGGCAACATTAAAATTCCGCGAGAGATTCTTACCTCTCCTCATTGTACACAAAACTAAAAATAACATTTGGTTGCATTCCAGGAAAACAAAGGTATGAAACATTCTCACATTTGTTGAGCAGTCATCCTCCAAAACACAATGTTTAGTAGAAGTCTCCGTTCTTGTGCATGTATGTTGTTGTTTGTATGAAACTTATCAGATGTCTGTCTTTCAGTTGTTCAAACATATACTGCGGAGGGAGATTACAGAGCCAGATTATAAACATCTGTCTCGGAAGTTCACGGAATGGACATATGGCCCAGTGCACACTTCTCTGTATGACATGTCAACTGTGGACTCCTTTGAATCTGGCTCTGTGCTGGAAACGATTGTATTCGACAGTAACGCCAATGTGAGTGGATACACTGTGTTGGAATTTTTTCATATTCTCAAACTGGCCCAAGTCGGGCCACTGTTAACCACTGTCCCCAATATGCTGCACTACTTTGCTAAGAAGGTGGAATTTCGCAGGGTTTGTGAATTCCCTGGTTCACGGTTGCTAGTAAATCTTTGGACAGGACTTACTTGAACAGGTATGGCAAATTTAGATGGGTAGAACAAATGATCAGCTAGGTAGAATGTTTTCCGCTATCTGCTCTTGTTTCACTTGAGATAAGAAAGACATTCAGGGTGTTAACATGCTCCCTTCTTTCTTCATTAATAGTAGCATATGTACTTTAGCTACCTGAGTACTTTTGTTAAAGGGTCTTTACACCAAAATCTGAAATTGCAGTTTTTTTTTTGTAGAATTAGGCCAGTTAAATAATTATTTCTTCTAGTTTTGTATATGGCGGGGAAGGTTTTTGATTACTGTTTGTGTCCTTGTTGGGGATATTTCCAAACCCACCCAAAGCCTCTTCACTTCTAGGAGTGTCTATGTATGGTCTTTGCTGGCATTATGCTGGAATTATTTAATAGATTGATTATTTAATAAAGGAAATATATTGGTTAGTGGTTGGATTGTGCCCCACTTATAACTGCCATTTAATGTAATTGTCTATGACTCACTATAAAGCTGTTTGAGAGCCTTTGAAGAAAGTTGAGTTACCTGTTGACCTCTGAGCTGTTTCTGCCAACTTGCTCTCCATGGCATAAAAGCATCAAATTCAAATGTAACAGCCCAGAATGTTATTTGAGATGATGTGTTATTTGCTTATTAAAGTAGGTTTGAGCTATTACATCATCTGAAATAAGTACAAACCAATGAGAATAAACCTGCAAATGTGAAGATGACTGATGCCAATGAGTATGGAAATTTGATGAAAATGTGAATTTATTTGGTTGCTGTACAGCAAAGCAAACCATTCTTTTTTGAGACATATCATTAGAGAACAATGCAAATAGATGTAATCAAAGCTTGGTGGGATAAGCTTGTCATGGGATCTTAGGTTCCCTTAAGGTTATATTACAAAATGAGGGAGTAGTCTAGGCTACGGATCACTCCCTCATTTTGGGTGATTTAAGGAGGGAGGAGTTTGACAGAGGGAGGAGAAGGGGGTGAAGATTTTTATTCACAGAGTAGACAGTTGGGTTTCCCTCAGTGGGCTAAAATTCATGCTATATCATGAACTGTAAGTACACCTTTGGGAGGAAATAACCCTGGGAATGGGAGAACTGAACTGCAGAACCTACCCATTTTGTATTGGTAACTTCTGCGGCAAGGCTTGGTAAGCTGGCTGTCCACTTTTGTTAGTTGAGTGCTGAAGTCTACACTCATGGGCTCTGCCTGGTTTATTTAAACAAAACATACCTTAAGTTTGTATAAAGCGAACCAGGGAGAACCAGTCTATGGACTGTAGACACTGTTTTGGATGTAGACCTTGTCTCCAGAGACTGAGCTTGTGTTAATGTGTATTTAGTTAGTCACAGGAGGAGGTCTCAGGCTCGCTATGTATCAATCTCCATCTCCAAGCTTCTATGTGGAGCCACTGCCTATGGCACTTTTATGACATCTTGAAGCTCTTCCTTCTCTTGTTTTAATTACTCTTAAAGCAAATGCCAACCCTAACAATTAGCTTCTCTTATTCACTCCATTTTATTATGTTAAATATATAATTTAAAGGGTTTTATCTGTCTTGTCGGTGCAGTATGTATAAAAGAACAACATGTTGATCATGCCAGAAATCTAATGCTCTGCTGTGTCCTGTGCATTGTGCAGAGTTATCCCAAACAATGATACCAGCTCTGTCTAGCTCATTACAGTACACCCCTCACTATGGTATGGAGAACAGAAGAGGGGGAGGTCTTCTCTTGTCCTAACACATTTTCTTTCCTAGGGTGACAATGCTGATTCTTCATAGATGTAGTACAATAAAGTGGACCTTTACACCCTTTGACTAAAAATCACATCAGCATACAGCTCTGCATGCTGATATGAAATCATCTTACATTCATTATCTAAACAAATATATATTTATTTTACTTACAAATCATGTACATGTGCCAAAGCATAGCTTCCTGGGAAGGTTACAACAGCAGAGCATTGCTGGGAAATCTTATCTGTAGTCTCATGAGATCTCAGGGAAATGCATTTTCCTTCCCTGAGATGATGTACATGGTCACATGCCCTAGTCACACAAGCCAGAGTTCCAGGTAGAAGAGAGATCTAGTAATGGCTTAGGTAAAATGGCCACTGTCAGAAGACTGGGGAAAAAAGAGAAATAAGGTATGCATAGAATACAAAGCCGGCAATTATCTAGAAGTATCTGTTTGTAGATTGCCATCACTAAACATTTCTAAAGGTGTCTCTGTTGTTATTTTGAAGATAAGGGTAAAGTTCCACTTTAAGCAATGTCATTCTGGGACAGGAAGTGTGCTGCCCGCAGGATCACCAGCTGAAAGAGAAAAAAGTCTGAAAAAAAAAGAAAACTAGCCAGCCACCACATCTAAAGACCAGTACTTTTCAGTGTATTACATTTACTGTAAGTTCTTGAGTTTAGTTACACTTTAATTCTCAGTCACAGATATCCCTTTTTATCTGTATATGGTCTTACCATAAATCCTTCATCCGTGTTCCCCTGAGCGCCCCATGCAAAACATTACAACACATTGATATTCCTAATCTTTCCCTCCAGAATCGACATGAAATGATTGTGCTGGAACCCATCAACCATTTGCTGCAGGAAAAATGGGATTCCTATGCTGGCAAGATTTTCTATGTGAAGTTTTTTTTCTATGTTTTGTACATGATAATATTCACAGTGACAGCTTATCACAGGCCACTTGAAGGACAGGTAAGAAATGAAGTCATTTTTGTTTATACATCCACGGGAAAAATCTAGATAATCACTTTTAGGGGCATTAATGACTATCACTTAGTGGCATATTTTTAAAATTGTGAATTTGTCACATTGGGGTTAAATAATTTACTGTCTATTAAAACACATTCACCAGGAAGATTCAACATCAGTATTTTCTGGTTAGCAACAGTGCAACATGCAGGGTAAATGCATGTTGATGTCAGTACGCAGTATTGCAGAAGCAGTAGTGTGGCAGCTGCTCTTTTCTCCCTTCTCCCATCTTGGTAAGAGCTGAAATACAGAAGAGATCACATACTGACTGTGCAGCTACCTGGCCCAATGTACTTACGTTATCAGGGAGCTATTGAGTCATGATCACATTTAGTGTCAAGGATCAGACAAGAACATCTGATCACTCAGCTCACGGCTTTTCCCTGCAAAAAGTAGTGATTGTCAGTCACTGCCCCCCACTTCCCCCTCCCCTTTCTATTCCTCCAGCGCTCGTTGGAGGGACAAACAGGGGAGAGAGTGGGCACAGCTGGCTCTGGCTCTAGAGAGGCAGAGTCAGCTGTCAATCAGGTAGCGGGGTGGATCCCGACAATATTGTTGTGATCTTTCCCAGTTGCAGCATGGCTCTGCGCTGTTAACATATAGTGGGTAGTAGTCCTCTAGATGCTGAGTTTGGATCACAGGAGTATATTAGTAAATGTACTCCTGTGACTCAAAAGAGAACTAAAGCCAAAAAAAGGTTTGTTTTAGTTCTCTTTTAAACTATCTGTAATGTATTTACATTGGACTGGTGCTCAAGAATCTATTCTCTGTTTTGAATTATCAATATTGTTTTATTGATAGCATGTTAGCTTTTCACTTGTCTGCTTTACAAATGACAAAATGTGTGCCTGTTTTTTTTAATTTTTAATTTTATGGCCATAGTTATTTGTCTTTGTTTGGCTTTGCTGACATTTTAGCAATAATTCTCTTCATGGGTCCCAATATGGTAATCATTTTCTTATTTGGGTCTTTGGATTAGAAAGTTTAGGAACCCCAGCTTTAGATGTTCTGTGAATATTAGAAATAATGCAAAGCAGCTGTGGACAAATATAGAACGTGTTATAGTAAACTCAGTAAGTAAAACCTAGTAATGTAGAACACAACAAAATTACACCAATTAAAGATTAAAGAGACACACACAAAAATTCATCAATCAATCAATGAATCATATTTCTGGTAAGGGTTGTGCACACAGGTGTAAAGTTTTGCAGCAAATCAAATGAAACCATACAAAAAAGTGCTTTTAGCTCTTATTGTAACATAGTAGGTGAGGTTGACTAGACAAGCGTCCATACAGTTCTACCATGTGTGTATGTGTGCAATTATAATTGATGACATTTGAAATGTATAGTCTGCCAAATATCATTCTTTGTCCCTTGAGAATGTCCTTACTGGCAGTCGGATTGGACAATGGTATGGTAGCTGGCAGGTCTTTCTTGTGATATCAGGTCATAGGAATAAAGTGAAAGAAAACCAGAGAGGGGCAAAAAGGGGTATTTCCTTCCCGATAAACGACCCCAATAAATTAACCCCATGTAGGTACCAGAATACAATATTTTTTGTGAGCCTTTGCTAATGCATCTCAGCAGCAAAATTTGAATGTATGTACATATCAGCACTTAGGGCACTTTGACATCTATATTAGACATAAACATAGACAATGTGTTTAGTTTCATTTTGGATGTTTCGTTATTTCATTTTTCAGGATTCAAGTTTGAAAGTCGATTCGTTTCGGCATTTGGATGAATCCGAATTTTCGTTAATTTCGGATTAGTTAAATGATAATTACGAACGAAAATTTGTTGCAGAAAAGGGATATTAAATGTTTTACTTTGTTTCTAATTAACGTTTGAAAGTCCACAAGAACAATAAAAAAAACAGCATGCAGTTCCCCCAACAATTCATTCCAGACCCTTGCAATCTGGTAAGAATGTTAGGAGGGACGCAGATTTAAAAAAAAAAAGAAAAAACACAGC